TTATACACACCTTGCTATAGGGTGTTGATCTCCTTAGGCCACCCCCTCCCCCTTTACACAAATACATATCACCTGATATGCTTATATCCAATAAGCATTCAGGTTTATACAGCTTGGAAGTGGAAAATATGCATACAAATGATGATATGGTCAAAATACTCACTTGCCTAATAAATGTGCACACAGTGTACAGGCTCAACTGTCTCACGTGCTAATCCAGTTGGGACCAATATTGCCGTATTTTTTTTTCAGTAGCAGCCGTGTTGGAAGAGACAGATTGCAGAAACAGGAACTTCTTTGGGTTATGTGTGTGCATGCACACATTTTTTTTCCCCATTTTGAACTAAAGAGTACTCCTGTCTTTAATTCTCTGAACTTCTGTTGGAAGAAGATGCATATTCTTTCAATCTTATTGTCCATTTCCTTATGTAGACAGCACGACTGTTTTATGTGTCATTAGTTTGTATAGCACAGATCACTACAAAAAGTTTAAAGGAATGCTTCAAACTGAAAGATTCAAACCTTAATTTTCTTTTGTATTTCTGAAAGGTCAAGTGCTGTAAATACTGGCCAGATGACACTGAGATATATAAAGACATTAAAGTTACTCTAATAGAGACAGAGCTTCTCGCAGAATATGTGATTCGAACATTTGCAGTAGAAAAGGTGAGCAAAGATACAATTTCTCAATATGTTTTCAGCCATGGCCTTGTTAAAATTAAGACATCTTTAAGTTAACCCTTGTTCCAAACAAAGTTCTTTGTGACTAAAGTTTCACTGTTCTGTACTGGTGAGGTCAGTTTACCCTATTTATTTGTTGCATTGATTTAAAGAATGCCCAGCTCCAGATTCTGGATGCTTTACATAATAAAAAAGACAAAACAATGAAAGAGAAACCAATTATATGTGACTAGAAATACCAAATACAACAGAAGAAAATCATACCAAACAAAAACTTAGATGGGCTCACCCACCACCCTTTCAAAAGCCTGAGAAAATAGCCAGGTTTTCAACATCTTATGTCATATCAACGGAGGGGGGAGGGGGGGCTCATGGATCTCTGGGGAATGCTATTCCAGAAAGCAGGCATCATGCCTTTCTCCTTTTCAGTGGCAAATAAGATAGAAGATGGGAGGTCAACTCCAAATAGTCACTCCAAATTTTAAAAGAGAGCAATATAGAGTTATGTCTCTTTCTGTGTCAGTTGAAAATGCTCACTGCTGCTGCTTTCCTCTTCTCTTGTGATCTGACAATCAATTAACAGAGAGGCGCCCATGAGATCAGAGAAATCAGGCAGTTCCACTTCACTGGCTGGCCAGATCATGGTGTACCGTACCATGCCACAGGTCTTCTCGGATTCGTCCGGCAGGTCAAATCGAAAAGCCCACCTAATGCCGGCCCACTAGTTGTACATTGCAGGTTAGTATTGTGGCTTCTTTAGTTGAAAAAGATGTTGGTCACATTTTATCCTTTTTAAATCCAACACAGCTGGAGCTATCTGGGTGCAATTAATTTGTATGTCATTTTTTAAATTGCTGCAGTTTATGAAGTACCATTCATGGACACGGTATAATGATATATATATTTGTACTCTGAATTTATCTTCCTCAGATGCAACAGATTGAAAAATCTTATTAGATTCAGACCCAATTTAAATGTTATATAGTCTTTCCAAAGGCTTCTGGAATATATTTCTCCATGACGGCAGTTTGCAGTCATTGGCACACCAGTATTACAGCTACTTATTTGAGCCACCATACATGAAAGATGTCATGCACAATGTAACAGTGCAACACTGTTAACCAATCAAGATGAGATGTTAAATGCATTTTTGCATTAGACAAATGGATTTTTAAATGCAAGCAGCACTGATAATTAACAGGATCATTGCAGGCCTGGAGAGAAGATTTAATTGCTGCTGTAATCCCAAAGAATCCTTCATTGTTGTTATTTTAAGTAGAAAGGAAATTCCTCATTAATGCCAGCAGGGATTTTTCCCAAAGCAGACATAAGGTTCAGAAGATAATAATTTGGCCATTTGAATGTTTTACAGCATAAACTTGTTGTTTTTCCCAAGTAGAGAGAGTCTCCTCTCCAACTATGGTGATTAAAACTATTGCTTAAAACTGAGATTCTGAGAAGACTTTATACCATTCTCAGTATGTATATTTTCCTAGGTTTGCAAGCATGTATCCTACCCAGTAAGGCACTACCTTAAGTCAAACCTGTAATACAAAACTACTGTATAAATGCTTTTTTCTATTAGTTAATGTTCTCATGATCTTTCTTTGGCTTTTTTTTTTTGTGCCTTCGAATCAGTGTTAACTCCTGGTGACTGCCTAAATTAGTCCCTTCAGTTTTCTTGGCAAGATTTTGGAAGTGGTTTGCCATTGCCTGCTTCCTAGGGCTGAGAGAGAGTGACTGGCCCATGATCACCCAGATGGCTTTGTGCCTATGTCAGGGCTAGAACTCATGGTCGCCCACTTTCTATCCTGGTACCTTAACCACTACACCAAACTGGCTCTCTCACAATCTTTCTTTGGCATGCCACTCAAGAAAGACATAATCTTTCCATTTTGGTGAAAGGAATTGCTAGCATTTTCTGAATGTTAAAATGATAATTGTGCTTTTGTATTTACAGTGCAGGTGCTGGAAGAACTGGATGTTTCATTGTCATTGACATTATGCTAGACATGGCAGAAAGAGAAGGAGTTGTAGATATATTCAACTGTGTCAGAGAACTTCGATCTCGAAGAGTTAACATGGTGCAAACAGAGGTATTTTAAGCATTCCCTCATTTTCAACTTTCCTGTATTGAATACAATAAAAATGTCTTTTATTCTACCACATATTGAAATGTAAATGAATTTAAGTGTCAGGTGCCCTGTAACTCTTTCTTGAGCTTATTTAGCACTGGTTGTATGGATATTATGCTCAACAAGGTAGCAGCGTGCAGCCAACTTTGGATGATCTGAAAAAGCTAGACCAGGTTGGACTTGGTCAACTGGGAAAATTAAAAAAAAAAAATTCTGGAAGAAGGTGATTGCAATCCATTTCCATACTGTTGCCAAGAAAATTACATGGATATGTCCATGTAGTCACCAGAAGACAAGCTCAATTCCAAGGAGACCTTATGTATACCATACAGAGATGACTCCATTTAGATATCTTACTGTCTTTATTAGATGGTTATCGCAGAAAGAATTAAGGAACACAGAGTAGTAATGTGAGTTGGCAGTTGGCACTAGGAATGCAGAGAATATGAAGTTATGGTGATTCACAAGTGTAATTTTGAAAAGAGAGGCTTAGATGGGAAGAAGGCTTCCTGTTCTAGGCACAGGATAGAAGGCATGCAGGTAGTGATGTACAGAAAACTTAAAATGGGGGACTAAGGAAAAATTAAGCATTTCCCAGAGTAGCAAGTTAAAACTGAGACTGCACATTAGACCTTCAAATTGCTGCATAAGGCAAGTTGCTCACTGCAGTTCTCTAATCATTTGTAAAAGAGAAATGGAGCTAGCTATTATTAATGTACTGGTGACAAGAAGAGGAATTAATTGTATTATGATGAGCGTTTTTATAATATTGCAGCTGTTTCTGTGCCATTGATCAAAAATTTTGCAAGATGGCAGTCGTAGCAGTGCGACTGAAATCCTGCCCCTTTAGATGTGCAACATTAACACACATACAGAAGGAGTGGAGCTTTGGTTGCAATGCCACAACCACCATCTTGCCTTTTTTGACCTTCCTTGGAGACACCACTATGATATTATATGCCAAAATAAGAAAGGAAGCCAGTTTGGTTACAGAATTCAGGAGGTGATGGTAGGTAGGTAGGTAGGTAGGTAGGTAGGTAGGTAGGTAGGTAGGTAGATAGATAGATAGATAGATAGATAGATAGATAGATAGATAGATAGATAGATAGATAGATATTGATTATGTGCCATCAAGTCATTTTCAACTACAGACACCCCAGTACTGTGCCATGTCAATTCATAATGTAGTCCCTTCCCTAAATCAGGTCCAAAGAGAAAGCAATATTCTGCACACATTCTCGTTCTCCCTCTCCCTCTCTTTCTCTCATTTTTTAAAGATAAAAATGAAGTATCCTTTCCGATTCTGGTATTCTAAGAGACTCAGTATTTTTTCTTTAGTAATAGTATGATTTTACACTCATTGACAGTCAGAAATAGCATAACAAATATAACAAAAGCAGCATAAAATGAAAAATAACAGTAAAATAAAAAATAAGATAGCTGAATCACTAAAGGAAAAAAGAAAGATTGTATTATCCTGATACTATAATGTATTAAAAATAATACTTTGGGTTATATGAGTTTTTGCCTCTGGGTCTTGGACCTCAAATCCAGGCATTTTTTAATCCTTATTTTCTTACTTGCACCAATAATGAAATCAACAGTCGGAACTGTTTTAAAAATTTGGTGGGACCTATCCCAGATAGAATCTGAGTATGTATTTGATTTGGCTGTGGAACATTGTTTCAACTGTCTGACATCTCTTTTTAATTTCTCCAGGAACAGTATGTATTCATACATGATGCAATACTGGAAGCCTGTCTGTGTGGAGATACTTCTGTTCTAGCTTCACAAGTTAGGTCAGTCTATTATGAAATGAATAAACTGGATCCTCAAACCAATTCAAGTCAGATCAAAGAAGAATTTAGAGTAAGTAAATGATTGAAGCACATTTCAAAAGCCAAATATTGCAAATGGCCCTTTGCCATAGGGTTAAATTTAGCTAGCTTAATTTTTAATATTATTCTGTAAAGCATAGATTGTCTTTAAATCTAACTCCCTGGAAATCAATGTAAGCCCAAAGACATATTCATTCTTGAGTAATTTTCTGACAACTTCATTTTATTTTATTTTTGGTAGACTCTAAACATGGTGACCCCAACCCTACGTGTAGAAGATTGCAGCATAGCACTTTTGCCCCGAAATCATGAGAAGAATCGGTGTATGGACGTACTTCCTCCAGACAGATGTTTGCCTTTCCTTATCACAATAGATGGAGAAAGCAGTAATTACATTAATGCTGCACTGATGGATGTAAGCTCTTGTCTTGGATTTCTTAACTGGGAAAGTCTGTGCTTATCAAAGAACCTGGAAAGTAGCAGGAAGCAAAGCTCCAATCTTTAAAATATGCTTTCCTAAGTTTATTTTAAAAACATTGAACATTCAGATACATTCAACATAAGCTATATAACTGCTAAGCTATTTAGCTGCTAAGATCTGAAAACATTTGTTGAGAGAGAAGCATGCTCTACTAACCAAGGAAGCCAGCCAACTTCACGTTGCATAAACCTTTTTTTTTTTTTAACAAGCCAGCGTCATCAAGTTTCATACATTACTTTGGATAGTTAGGTGGCAATACCTAGCTGACCATGGCTGATCTCAAAAAAGCTCAACAGAGTCAGACTCCATTAGTGCATGAATATAAGGACAAAAAAATACTGGACAGATGGACTGGACTGGGAAGCCATAAAAAAATCTAAAGAAAGGCAATGGCAAACCACTTTTGCATTGTTGCCAAGAACGATATGAATGTGTCCCTGCAGCCTCTTGGAATTGAAATCAATTTGAAGGATAGCCTTTATTGTGATAGTACCGGACATGGTCACACAAAACAATAAACAATGGTTTATATACCATAATGGCTAATTTCACACAACAGACCAAATAACAGAACAGCTTTATGTAATATGTGAGTCTAATTTATATGCCTCATATCTAATGTATGCATATTAACTGTAAAGAGTAGCTCATTACATAACTAAGGCTACAAATATATACATGCTTACTGAGGCTTATTTCAAAGTGTGTGCGAATATGTGTATACAGGCACACATACAAAATGGCTCTTTAAGGCAGCTAGTCAACATAATAATGTTGGGAGAAATTTTTACTTTTCTTTCTCATTTTCATGGTAATGAACAGAAGAGAAAAAAAGCCTGTTGGCATAGATAATACGCAGGCCATTACTTCAGTCAATTGACTCTTTTGTAACTGAATGAACATTTGCTAAAGAGTCTTTTACCACCATCCACATTAAATACAGATATGGAAGTTTTAACAACAGTTACATTACTTAAGTAAAAGGATACTTAAATATGTTTTACACTCTTTAGAGATTGGTAGAGTATCTCTGACATTTTAGAACAGCAGTAATTAAGGCTGTCACACATACATACACACATGCCAAGAATGCAGACTTTGGAAAAGGACAAAGATATTCTCAATAACATTCCACGAAAGCAATCTTTTCAAAAAGGACTACTAGTACATAGTTAGCATTTCTATAATTTATAGTAAAGATACATGGAAGGATTGTGTGCTCATAAGGCAGGAGTATCACAGTAGTGATTATGCTATTGATTGGCACTGCCTGTACATATCCAATGTATGGATAGTATTACCAGCAAGTAACCTTGTGATTGCTGAGTGTAATAGGGCCAATGTCAGTGGCTGCTGGTGTTGCTCGGTTGTATTTGTTTCTTCAGTTCCTGTTGTGCTTCTGAGAATATGTTTGCAGCCAGCAAAGCCCTTGCTTGCAGTAGCCACTTTTACTGGATCCCTCAACCTACTGCCCTATAGATGTAGTCCTTCAGCCAGCACAGCTGTTAGGTACATCTGGAGGGCACCAGGCTTGGGAAGTCAGCCTTATTTCATGGCTGTTCCCTCTTCTCCCAAGAGTTGTCAAATAGTACACCTCAAGGCCATCCATGGAGGGGGTTCAAAAAAGTCAAGATGGCAGCCACAACAGCACAATTAAAACACTGCCCCTTTTTTTATATGGGTTGACAAATGTTAAAAAGGGGCAAATATGGTCACAGCTGCCATATTGACTTTTTTTACCCCCTACCCCACGAATATCCCCAGTACATAACTAACCCTTTATCTATTCTTAAAATAAGCCTTGCTTCCCATTCTTTGTCCCTTGTGTTGATAGCATTCTGCTAAGGTACACATTTCACCAGTGACAAGAACCTCTGGTGCAGCTTTAATACTGTATCTATATAACTTCACTATCTCCAAGTTCCGTTGGAAGAATGGGGATTTAAAAGCAATTCTGTTCCTAGTCTGAAGGGCTGTAACTGCTTTCATGTCAGTTCACCAGTAGGTTTCTCTTCCATTTCCATAACATCTAGAATAATTTTTTTTTAAAAAGACTATTCAGATTCAGTGATGTACCAGTTAACTCTGCTACGAAACATATTCTGTGCATTTGTTCTGTTTCTCTCTCTTTCTGAAGTTTTCTTCTTATATTTACTTTCCTACTATAGCTTTAATTCTGACTATTCCTCCATCAAAATATTGTTCCTCTTGTTTTTCAGAGTTATAAGCAGCCCTCAGCTTTTATAGTCACTCAACATCCTTTACCAAATACTGTCAAAGATTTCTGGAGACTGGTTCTAGATTACCATTGCACATCCATAGTGATGCTGAATGATGTGGATCCAGCACAAGTAAGTCAAATAAATGAATTCAGTGAAATTGCATACTTCATAAGTAATGTCTCCTTCAAGTTGAGTTTGACTTTAAGAGACTTCACCTCCATGTAGTTTCCTTGACAACAGTATGGAAGTGGCTTTCCATTACCTGCTTCCAGGATGTTTTTTCCAACTTCCCAGTCTAGCTTATGGTCCTGGAAAAGACCTCCCATTGAAAAAGGAACCAGCCCCAATATATTACAAGATTAAAGCCCTACCTGGAACATCAGTACATGAACATAACTGCAATCTCTCACTAAACACTCTAATTTCTATAAACTCTCAGGCCTTTGCATTCAGTTCTGAAAAGGTGCTTCAAATAACGATGGGGCACAAACATAGCACCTGTATGCAAGTGATTCAAGCAGTGACATCTATAAAGAGTTGCAGCCACACACACACACACACACACGCACATTCTGAGGTTTCTTGGAATTGAATTCAAAGTACTGCGGTACCCTATTAAGACTGAAGCCCACCTTAAGTCCTACTGTGCTGCCTCATCATGGGCAGTGGGGGGTATTCCTGGGAGGGATAAGCAAAGAACACTGCAAGTGTATGCCAAGATTATAGACTTCCAGCAGGGTCACCCAAGGCATTAAGGTAATCTCTGCCAACCTAGCTAAAGCAAGCAGATATCTGTATTGGACAGCAGTGAGATAGAAAGGTGCTGAAGGTAGATGATCACTTTAATGACAACAGCAAAGGCATCATTTCATACTGGTAAAACCTGTATTTTACCAAGAAAGTCATGGATAGATAATATACAATTTGATGATATAGTACCAGATGATGGGCTCTTCAGGTGAGATGGCACTCAATATTCTACTAAGGAAGATATTCAAGCTGGTTTTAGAAAAGGCCAAGAAACAAGAAAAAATTGAAAAAGCCAAGGAATATCAAAAAGTAATCAATATGTGCTTCATTGATTATAGGAAGGCCTTCAGTTGTGTTGGCCATATCAAGCTGTGGAATGTCTTTAGGAAAATGGGAATCCCAGAACATCCATTGTCCTCATGCAAAACCTATACACAGCATAGCAACCCTCACTTCCGATGGAACATAGCAAAACAGACTGGCTCCAACCTAGCAAAGGAATGAGACAATATATATGCTGAATATATATTGAACAAAGCTGGACTGGAGAAGAAGATGAGCATAGTGTTAAAATTGGAGGAAAAAAACCAGTAATCTGCACAATGCTGATGACACTACTCTTATAGCTGAAAATGCAGATATCTGCAAGCTCTAGAAATGAAAGTCAAGGAGTACATGAGAACATGAGATTAAGATTAAATATAAAGAAGATTAAACTAATCACAACAGGTACAGCAGCCAACCTTAGAACTGGCAATGAAGTGATGGATAGTTTTGCCTTTTAGGATCGACTATCAACAGTAAAGGAACTGACAGTTGTGAAATACTTTGCAGGCTAGCACTTAGTAGAATAGCCATAACATTTTATTCTTGAGTGGAAATGTGAATCCTCAGTGTACTGGTCCAAATCAACCATTATTTACTGGGCCACGTAGATGCAAGTTCTGTTTTTGTGATGCTGAAACCCTGCTATTTACAACTGCTTCTTTCTTTCGGAAAAAATGAACATCACTTACTGTCAGCCCCTTTTTTTAATAGGAAGAGCGCCATTAATTGCGAATCCTCATGGGAACATTTTCCTGGGGATGCTGAATGTCAGCTTAAGGAAATGCACTAGCTTATGCTACCGGGAAAGAGACAATTATTTCTCCAGAAAAAGTGTGATACAGATGGTGGCCTGTCATCAGTGCTGCTCAGTAGCCATCTGCACTAAGAACTAAAATGGCGCTGGCATGACTTCCTGAAACACCACACTTCCTTTTAGCCTTACATAGTACTGTGCTGTGTTCCTCCTGCCTCTTTCTAACTGAAATGGCAGCAAAATCTGTGTCAAGAGTAGTCACTTAGTTCCTGGAAACAACTGAAAGATGAAACTGTCTTACAAAACACTGATGGAATTGAAAAAGTGGTGCCCATACTAGAGTAAAACATGTCTTGTGCAACTATCTGTAGTTGAAATACATAATTGCTAAGCCCTGTTCTCTAGAATTCCTGGCTCATAGTATTTATTGTACTGTTTAATGAAATACTTTGGTTAAAGAGAAGAGCATTAACAGCTGGATCTGCTGTATGCTATATTTATCATAAATAGTTAAAGGAAAATGCTTTTCTTAACACTTGAAATATTTTTGTCATTATTGTTTTAAAGTTCACAAGCAACACCCCTTCTGTAAGTAACTATACATTTCAGGCATTCACTTGCATATTTTTGTATCCCAGCCGCACTCACTTGTCTCCAGGGAAATGTATGAAAGGCAAAAGATCTTGTGTGCTAGTGGGTTATTTTCAGAGTGAACAAGGAAAGGCTTGTGGGATCAAGATGTTTAGTTGCTACTAAAAAGTGCATTTCACTTCTCAGCCATGCTTTCAATGTACAAGAGCAGGAAGCATTTTTAACTTTCCATTGGCCTTTCTTGGTTACCTTTTAAAATTTTGGGGGCCTGCTGTCTGTTGGCAACCACATCTGTTTTGCTACTTCTCTAATGTCTGTTCCAAAACACTAATTAAGGATACATAGGGTGAAGTGGGAGATGAAAATGTACACTTGGCTGAAAATAATTTGTTTACACAATTGATACTACCATACTTGTTTACAGCCTTTGGAGGGGAAAAGTAGTTCTGGTGTACAAATTGAAGAGAGGTATCCCATGTGGCTGACAGCACTGAAAGCTTTCTTGGTTTGGTCAGATAGATTCATAGAATGTAGGGGTTTGGAAGATCATCTTCTCCAGCCTTCTGCAGGAAACCACTACTATAGCATTCCCAACAGATAGCCATGGAGTCCCTGTTTAGATACCTCCAGTGTAGAAGAGCCCACCACCTGCCAAGGTAGTCTGTTCCATTTTTGAACAGTCCTTACCATTATGAAAAAAAATGAAGTCCACACAAATCTACTTCTTTGTCATTTAAACCTGTTACGTCTTATCTTGTCTTCTGAAATAACTCCGAACAATTCTTTCCTGTCTCCTACATGACAGCCCTTTAAAAACAGCTGTCATGTCTCCCTGTAGTCTTCCCTAAACATACCCTCCAACCTTTCCTCATAATTTTTCCTTCCAGACCACTTATCATCTTGATTACTCTCCTCTGGACATGCTCCAGTTTATCAACATCCTTTCAAAAACATGGTGCCTAAAACAGGACACAATATTCAAGGTGTGATTCTAATGCAGCATTAGAGAGGAACAATGACTCCTTGACACTATACTTCTGTTACTGCAGTCTAGGATAACTTTTTTTTTTTTTGCCAGTGCAGCATGCTGTTGGTGCATGTTTAGTTTATGAACAATTAAGAGACCAGATTCTTTTCACATGTAGTTTTGTTCATTATGCTCCCTTCCCATTGTATACTTATGCCTTTGATTTTTCCTACTCAAATGTAGGACTTTACATTTGTTGTATCATCTTGCTGGTTTCTGCCCATTTCTGGCCATTGTTTCAGCTTGTCAGTGTCCTCCTGAATTTTGATACTGTCCTATAAGGAATTTGATATCTTCCTCTTTGTGTCATCCAAAAATTTGAAAATCTCATTTTCTAATCCATCAGCCAAGTCATTTATGAATAAGTTAAACAGCACAGGGCTAGAATAAAGCCATACAGTACACTACTTGACACTCCCTTCTAGTGCTTTTTAACATATTTATAAATGATCTGGAATCAGGCATGACTAGTGGAATAGCTACATTGCTGATGACACTAAATTGTTTAGACTGGTAAAAACTATAAGGGACTGCCAAGAGCTCCAAAGGATTCTTTGCACATTAGAGGAGTAGATGTCAAAATGGCAGATGTCATACACTGTGAGCGAGCATACAGTGATGCACATTGGTGCCAAAAATCCTAACTACTCATACAAACGAATGGGATCAGAGCTAGCAGTGACTGACAAGGAAAGAGATCTTGGACTAATGATAAACAGTTCAACGAAGGCGTCAACACAGTGTGCATCTGCTGTAAAAAAGGCCAAAAAAGGCATGATAGGGCTAATAAGGATAGTAAGAAAGGAATTGAAAACAGAGATGCCAATATCATAATGCCCTTATATAAATCAATGGTGCTGCCACATCTGGAATATTGTGTGTAGTTCTGGTCACCGCACCTCAAAAAGGATATAGTGGAGCTGGAGAAGAAAGAGACAAAGAAAAAATTATAAGAAATCAACTTGTTGGATATTACTTGACGGGATTAAAGACCAAGCTTTTTAAAAGTAAAAAGAAGGACTATAAAATGGATTTATTTGATCAGGGTTAAAATATATATGTTGTGGTTTCTGATAGCTATTAATGGAATTTCTTCTTGACCAGGACTGAATGATGAGGCTTTAAAGATTTGTTTATAAACGGGGAAGGATTTCTTTGGTTTTATTCCTTATAAGTTGGAATACAAAATGGATGTATTTGATTAACATTAAATATATATGTTATTGTTTCTGGTAGCTCTTAATGGACTTTTGCTGAATAGGATTGAATGATGAGTTTTTACAATTTGTTTATTGATAAGAGATGAGTTATAGGAAGAAGAGATCTTTTTTATTATTATTGAAATACTATTGAGGGTGTTAAAGTTACTGAAGTTGTTTATACTTGTCTATGTATTTGATTAACATTAAATATATATGTTATTGTTTCTGGTAGCTCTTAATGGACTTTTGCTGAATAGGATTGAATGATGAGTTTTTACAATTTGTTTATTGATAAGAGATGAGTTATAGGAAGAAGAGATCTTTTTTATTATTATTGAAATACTATTGAGGGTGTTAAAGTTACTGAAGTTGTTTATACTTGTCTGGAGGGAGGAGGGAGTCATTTTTTTATATTTCTCATTTTTTTCCTTTTTCCTTTTCCTTTTTCTCTCTCTTTGCACTTTTCTTTTTCTTTACTTCACTTTTCATATTTCTCTTAGTTTGTCTTTTATCTTTGAATTTGTAAATTTTAATAAAATTATTACAAAAAAAAGAAGAGTGTCCAGAAATTGTAGTGAGTGCAAAATGCATCAACCTCATTGTTAATCAGTACAAGATACAGGAATCACGTGATGCTGGTACCAGAAGATGGGTTCTTCTTGCTAATTGCTTCTTAGGTAGCATTTAAGATTAAATTTAAAGCCCAAAATGTCTAAGGGTCTGCCTCTCCCGATGCAAACCTCCGCAAGCATTAAAATCTGAAAATGTCCCCCAGTCTGTCCAGCATGAAATAGAGGGCATTTTCTGGTTGGCTCCCAAGGCGAGAAATGCCTTTCCTCAGGAAATGCAGTTAACCCACATTCTCTTTTCCTCCAGGGCATCAGCCAGGACATGCATTTTTCACCAAGCTTTTAATTGTTACTTGATGTTTGCAAAATTTTAAAATACATTTTTCCATTTTTATTTTTGTAGAGTTCATCTTATTGATTACCAGCCTTGCATATGCAAATGAGTAGAGGGGCAGGATATAAATTAAATCCAAAATACAATCCTTCAATGGTTCCCTGGGTTTGTTTTATTTTGGGTTTTTTGCCTGAGCTGTCTGATGGAGCCCATTTGTACATTGATGTCTAGAATATTGGGAAATGGAGGTTCTGGAAGGATTAAGAAGGACTCAGCCCACATAATACTATCTGCTATTTAAATGGTCCAGAGTATCACTTTGATCCCCTGTGATTACTATACAATGCAGTTGAAACACGTTTTCAAAGTGGAAAAGGAGATATTTATATATATGGAAAGCAGCAAAGGTTCTGATGATATTCAGTATTTTTAAAATAAAGCAAAATGTCTTGAAAAATTAAAAACAGATGTGGTGTTTCATACCCATGATAACCAGCAAGGGAAGGACTTTTTGTGATATCCTCATAGAAACAGAATATTTTCCACAGAGAATTCCTCACATGTGCTTCCCAGTTCTCCTTTTAAAAGAAATTGAAAGCTTTGTTCCATCGCCATTTGGAAATAATTTGGAAAGAATTGCTTTTCTTTCTATTTAGTTTTAAATTATTAATAGTTAAATTCAACTTATTTTAGATTTTTATTTTATTTTGTAAATAATCTTCTAACCATTTTTGTGAAAACAACTCTGTTAATAAGTAAATAAAAATAGAATTATAAACACTAAGTGTCCTTTATAAATGGTTTCTCCTGTAATATATGTATTCCACATTTATGTATACATGTACTACAGATTTCACTGGAGCCTGTGTACTGGAGTAGATTATATTCTCAGAGGCTGAGAATGGTTTCTGCATTTTTCCTTCTAAAAAGGCATAATTGCAGAATACATTAAACACAATAATCCTTTAAAACGGACTTTTCTTGAAAGACTGCAACGTTTCATCCAAAACTTTTGGATATATAAACTTATGTACAAGCGTGATGCCCTTTGATCTTTGGAAATAATCTTACTGTTCTCAGTTAAAAAGAAGTGATAGCCTTTCTTGTATAGACCTCTGTGGCTTTTGGAACTCATATTGGTACATAGAAAATAGCAGTTGAGTATATGGAGCCATCCTGACTTATGTTTCCTAAATGATATAATTATGCATGAATGGATCTCTTTCTTCTACAGTTATGTCCACAATATTGGCCTGAAAATGGTGTTCATCGACATGGTCCTATTCAAGTAGAGTTTGTTTCTGCTGATTTAGAAGAAGATATTATCAGTCGGATATTCCGAATTTATAATGCATCAAGAGTAAGGACCTTATTTAGTTATCTGCTAATTTTCTTATGAGTGATAGAAAAAAATAGATTGGGTTCACATTTTAGGGAATCCATATTTAATTGATGGTTTAGTTTATTATTTATTATTTAATGGAAGCATTCCAAATTATTATTTATACAAAAAAGTCCGATGTGTTCATAAAACACTCCAACTGTAATGTAGAGTAAGTAATGTTCTATAATTGGAACCAGCCTAGAAGCTTCAATTGGAACAAAACAGTGTTACCAAGATTTGGATGAACTTAGAAAATCTAGACCATATCTGGCCAGTGTTAAAGTGCTTAATAAAAACTATGTTGAAATACAAGAATGAAGAACATTCAGTGAGCAACTTTGCCAGGCCTTTTAGCTGGTTATTTATTTATTTGCCAGAATTAAGGGTATATACAAGAATATTATATTTTGAACATTTTTGAACATTAGATACAGAGTGTACAAATTAATAATCCTGAAAACCTTTTTTTCAAATCCCAATTCTATTGTCTGTCAGTAGAATTGGGGAATTTGAAAACCTTTCTTTTCTTTCCTTCTCTTTGTTATAAATTAATAGAAAGTTTCAACAGATAAACAAAATATAGTTTTGCAGAGATGCTAAGGAAGGGAGGATTATTCTGAATGAATGAGTCTGTATTTAGTGTGTTAACAATCAGTCATCAGAGTGAAAATTCATTTCAAAAATTTGACAATAACAAGCATATTAAAAAAGGAGCAACATTATTGGAACTATATTGCACATTTCAGTTTGGTAGCCAGTGATTGCTGTAATATTAATCATATATTCGGCTCTTGCAGCTGTACCATTGTTTCACTCCAGCATATCTGTATTTTCAGCTGTTTAAAATATCATCTTCTTAAATCTGAGATTCAAAGTCACAACTCCAAAATGTAAATTCCTTCAGAACATTGTAAGGAGCAATCTTCTATAATAATGTTCAGTGCAAGTATGTAATGCATATATTATTTGAACTCAGAATAAATAATGCTGTCTTTTTATTCTTCACCTGTTGGTTGGGTCCCCACAGCCCCAGGATGGCTATCGAATGGTGCAGCAGTTTCAGTTCCTGGGATGGCCTATGTACAGAGACACACCTGTATCAAAACGGTCTTTTTTGAAACTCATACGTCAAGTGGACAAGTGGCAGGAAGAATACAATGGAGGAGAAGGCCGTACAGTTGTCCATTGCTTGTAAGTGAATAAAACTGTAAGGTGATCAACAACAGCAACAGTTACAAAGCTGATGTAGAATCTAATTCAAATTCTACAACAACTCTGTAGAGTCAGAGTTGTAATTCTCCATAGTACAGATGGGGCTTATAGGGTGGGGGTGAGGTTGAGAGCACATAGCTTGGCCTAAAGTCACCTGGTGAATTTATTGCAAAAGCAATATTCAGAGTGGAGAGTTCCTGATTTACAGCCCAAAAGCAATTTAACAAACTCATAGACTATCTGTTTGTCAATAGTTGTTCAATACACACAGTGTCTCTCTGAGTACTGCCATACTGAGAACTAAATCAGAGAGGGCTGTAGCCTTTCTGCTCTCCTTATATTCGTCCTGGAGATAACTGTTGTTAACATTGTTTGATGCAGAAGGTTGGATTTTACCTTGCTCCTTTGAAAGGAAGAGGATACCATTCTGCCATTGCTTCATTCTTTGCAATGTACATGAAAACCAATTAAACCATCCTTGAGAGGTGGCTATCTGCCTCTTCTTAAAAATCTTCAGAGATGGAGAACCAACAACTTCTGTAGAACTTCTGTTCCACTATTGTATGGTTCTTATTGTCAGAAGGTTTTTCCAGATATTTAAACATAATCTAGGTACCTGCTCAAATGCCCATTATTTTTTCCTTCCTAATTTCTGTGGCAACAGAAAATAGTTCCAGACCACCTTCACTGTGGCGCTCTTTTATGTACCTGCCCCTCAGTCTTTTCTCCAGACTGAACATAGCAAGTTACATCCATCATGCTCATAGGACATGTCCTCAAGCCCCTGTATCACCTCTGTCATCGTCCTCTGAACCTGATCTAACTATCAGTGTCCTTCAGGAAATGTGTCCACAAGCATACTCAGTATTCCAGGTGTGGTTTCACTAGTGCAGGGTAGAGAAGAACAGATTTTGTCTATCTTGGTATAGTGCTTCTTCTAATATTGTCCAGAACTGATTTAGCCTTCTAGCATCATCTGTCTCATACTGCTGGCTGGCTTATGTGTCAATGATCACACCCAAGTCTTTCTCTGATTAAGCACTTCCAAGTCATAATTCCGCATCTTACGTGTCTGCCTTATGTTTTTCCTCCCTGAATGTAATACTTTACATTTCTTCCTACTGAAGGACATCTTGCTCCTGTCTGCCCAAGCACACATAAAGTCTTTAAGTACTATGCTAGTCATTTTAAAAGAAAACAATACAATAACAAATAATATTAATAACAATAATAATAGCAGAGTGATAAAAATAGAATTTTAATAAGAGGGAATATGAATGCAGAGTAAAATGAACCAAGACACACATCAAGAATTAAAAGCATCTATATTTAATAAGGATAGCAAACTTTTTAAATGCCTAGTGTCTTAATAAATGATAGAATTATATCTACAATTAATAGTGGATATCTAATCATCAGTGTTACGCAGGTCTGTTCATCTAGTACTGCTGCAATAATGAAAGACACAGAAAAAAATTCTACCACATGATGCTAAATACAACATCAAAGGAGGATAGAATTCCAGTAATAAATGATTGGAACACAGGAAGATTTGGATTGTGATAGTGCAGTAACAAAGAAGATAAGATAATAGACTTTTTGCAAAGAGAATTCTTTGTTTATTGCCAACCTGCTTCAAGCAACATAAATACAGAGTCTATATATAGACATTACCGGATGCACAACGCTGCAATCAAACTGACTACATAATAGGAAATGGAAGATGAAGAAGTGCAATCTATTGAGCCTGGTAGAATAGACCGTGATTTATTGATGTCAAATATATGGGCTAACTTAAGAGAATGAAACTGATTGGGTTAACAAGATTTGATCTGGACAGTATACAGTCAGAATATAAGATCAGTGTAAGGAACAGATTCAGTACAATCAATTATGCACAAGAGAATATGAGGAGCTGTAGAAAGAAATGAGACATTGTGAAATTGAAGTGGTAAAAGCAATCCAAAAATGTCAAAGATGAGAAGGTCCAAATAGCTTTCAGAATATGAATGTGGACTTCTAGGACTAGTAAGAAAGAACAAAGAAAGATACCTTATTTGAGAATGTCAACAAAAGAGAAAAACAGTTAAAAGAATGTGAAATGTTCCCTGTGTTCAGAAAAATCACAGAAAAACTTACAGTTGGATTAGAAATGCTCAAAAGTAATCAGGGAAGAGATCTAATAGATGCAAATGAGATTAAAGGAAGATAGATTATACTGATTACTAGATGGCAGCCAAGAGAAACAGAAAACTCTAACTCTTTGCTACCATCTGGTGGTCAGGCAAGCAATAGGTTGATAATCCTTGGTGAAAAATAAGGGGAAACGATTACTGTACTGGATGGAAAGCCTGAAGCATACAGGCATCACAAAATCACATGTTCTGTATGATGGTCGCTTTTTCCACAATTAGTAATGTTGATGGGATTCAAAATTCAGCTGGAAAAATCACTAGTTGCTACCCTCGCAATATCACTTGGTAGCACTAAATGGACACCAGCACAGTTAACAGTCTGAGATATGCAGATAAGATTGCTTGACTAACATCTGATTAACTGTAGAGGAGTGAAGGTGGTAGATAGTTTCGTTTTCTTGGGCTTAAGAATAAAGGTGGACAGTATGCTGGAGGAGTAAAAAGGAGATTAATCCTAAGGAGGAAGACAGTGACAGACAAGATCACAAAGGATAAGGACATTTCTGTGACAACAAAGATCAGAATAGTTAAAGTAAAGTACAAATCCATGTACTTCGGGAATGTGATAGAAGTGGACGAAGGACTAGAAAAATTTACTACATTTGGCCAGGTGAGGGATGAAGAAGAAAACAGTGAATAAGAGGGATGGATGGGGCCAAGATTAAAAGAATGTCCCTGGACGAATTATGGTTGTTGCTAGAGATGGGTCAAGACAGAATATTGCATTTGTCTGGCAGTCACCAGAATCAAGCCTGATTCAATGACTCCTAGCCAAAAAATGTCCAAGAGTACAAAAAATAGACACATACTGGGAAATAATCTGTTTACTATATTCTGTAGTTTGGTCCACAATCTATAAAACCATCTTCAGTGACAACCAGACAATGTCTAAGCTGCGTCAGTATTTCAACTGACTCTTCTTTATTTATGCCTTCTACATTTATTTCTAGCCTTAGTCTAAGACAAATCAGAATAAATGCTACTTTTGTTTAGCATGTTTTGTGAACCCAACCATTTGATTTGCGAGGGGAGTGATTGTGAGAACCTAACCAATTGTAGATTATTCAATAAATGGTGGTCAAACCATGGCTTAGCATGATGTGTGAATTAATGTATGTTCTTCACTTTCTCTCTCTCTCTCTCTCTCTCTTTCTCTCTCATGCACACATACACACACACCCCCTTTCTGACTGAAACGTGACGTTCTTTAAAAAATTAAAAACTAGATTTTTATCTAGATTTTGTTAAAATTACCCCACTTTTCAGCTGATCGGGGTCAGGTAGTTTTATCTCATTGTTTTCTAGTTTTTTCACCTGTTGAATAAAAATTATAATACTTTATTTTGGGAGAAGGTTTAGCTCGTTAATGCTTTGAGATGCACATCTGGGAGGCCCTTTTCAAATGCAAATTGATATTATCTCCCTTGATCACTCATGATATTAAATGGTTGTACCATCTCTCATGTGTGTGCACACGTGCATGGCACTTTGGGGTGGCATAGGACAGAAAAAACTCCAACATAATCCTTTTAAATGACTTTGGTTTAATTAGATGCTCAAAGAATGGCACAATATTATCCAGTATTTTGGCAGCAGGGAGCATTCTTTTCATGCTGTCTGGATGTGACAGATGTGCCATATTGTAGTTTCCTTTGAAAATCAACCATTTGTGCATGTTGTCTTTAAAGAGTTGCAAGCTAACTAGTCTGCACTCTGGTAATTATTAAGGTTTATTATTTTCAATGAAGTGCAGACTAAAGATGCTGATTAGAATAGCTGTAGAAATAATAGGGTTTCTAGAATGGGAGAGAGTCTCTAGAAAATTAAAAATAACTAAAGATAAAACATTATTAAATTTTGGATTTAGTCATGCATCTAAATTCATGCAACACATTTTTTGCAATAAACTGCTTTGTGTTCTGATATTCCTGGGACAAATACAGTTCTTCCAATTGAATATCTACAGTATAAATTCTTGGTTAGCATTAACCATATAGAAGGAACGTTCCACTGCAGATCTTAATGTTACCTATTTGTTTGTTTATTCATTAGATTTATAGGCCGCCCTAATCTGTTATATATCTGGAGAGTTGATAAAAACAAGCAGAGAAAAAAGCTCTTGTCTTTCTAGTGCTATACACATTCAGAGTAGCTAACAAAATTTTAAATCAGTAAGATTCCAAGAAAAAACAATATTAAATATGAGAAGCAGGCAGATACAGCAGGTAAGTTAAGGTATCAGAAATAATATATACTCTCTATAAAGGACTTGATTAAAAAAATGTCTTCATGAAGCAATGAAATACTGCTAAAAAGAATGCAGGCTTTGCCTGTGAGGGAGAGAGCTTCCTAATTAGTCCCTTTTTTCTGTCCCTCTCAACTGGGCGTCCACCACAGTTTAATCATAGAAATAAGTTTTTCCATCAGTTCTTGTATGGGAGAAAGAAGTTTAAAGGTATCATATAAAGATCACGACCTTTTAAAGGCCATCAGTCATTTGAGGTGTGTACAAAAACAAATTGATACTCCTCACAGTCTTTATAGGATAGGTATCATATGGTCATGATCTCAAGCCCACTATTATTCTCAAATAATAATAGATGCAGCGTACGAAGGTTCTTCAAAGGTTACAAGATAGACTCATGTAGAGCATGTTGCAATACCCCCATCTAGATGTCTAAGGCAGGTGTCATCTTGGCCAGGTCTGTCCAAATAATCATAATAGTTTCATTCAATTTAGAAAGCAGGATATTTTTTCCTGAAATAATTGTTTCTGCTTAATTTCACAAAATAAAAATGGAGAAATCTCAAAAATCCTGAGTAGAAAGTGGATAGAATAGATTTGATATCAACACAAACATTCATAGATTGAGCTAAACCCTGGTTTATTTTAATGTGGGTTGTTGAAAAGGCCACAGTTATCAGGTTTATATAGTAAACCAAAGGCCCAGTAGACCAAAACCAAACAGTTAACCTAGAATTGTTACGTAGCATTTTGAGAGCAGAGAGACTGAGATGCTAATCCACCCTCAGCCACAGAAGCTGACTTGGTGACTTTGGGCCAGTCACTCTCTCTTGAAAGGGCCATTTAGTGGAGAAAAATAAGAGGAAGGAATACTGCGTGTATTGCCTGGGGCTCCTGAATGAAAGGTAGAATACAAATCAAACAAATTATACGTTCATATATCCCCAATACATTGGTTCAGCTCAAGTTTCATTGTTAACACAATTCCTTATAGCGTTTCTAATTTAGCCTAACAGGCATGGAGAAAACAATTTTGTGCTCAGGCACAAAGAGTGAAAAGATGAGAAATCTAGGACCCCAAAGTCCATAGCTAGGCTAGCCACAAGCGGTAAACATTTATTCTGCTTAGCCCATTGCACAGTGAATCCAGTCTGGATGGACTATTGAGACAACATGAGCACTCATTGGTTACATAATGGAATAAAATAGGCTTATTTTGGGAGGTGAAAAAAGTCCTTAAGCACTATAAGAAATAACAAAATCTAAAAAGTAATCAAGTCATTTTGCTGTTTTTCTTATAGAAATGGTGGTGGCCGCAGTGGGACATTTTGTGCAATCAGTATTGTTTGTGAAATGCTACAACACCAGAGGGCCGTTGATGTATTCCATGCTGTGAAAACTCTGAGGAATAATAAGCCGAATATGGTGGACCTTCTGGTAGGAGCTCTTTAAACTGCACCACTAAGTAGAAAATTATTCCTGTTCTCATAAGGCATAGTGACATTTTTGTGATTTATGTGGAAAACTGTTCATAAAAGCAAGCCTGTTGTTTTCTAAAGGGGATAATGAAATCACTTGACTTGTAAAAGTATTTTTATACTACTTCTTCCTGAGACTTGTTCTAGATGTGTTAGACTTTTTGTGCAAACGTAACAAGTTTAAACAGAACATCCTTATTAATTTTCTTTTCTGGCAGGGCAATCCAGAAGGAGAACAGACTTTGTATGGCAGAAATAATAGTCATGTAAAATGAAGTGCCAGATTTTCAAATTATATATTTTATAAATAGCTTAATCTCCTAATATTTATCAAGACTGTGAATTTCAGTTTGACATTTAGTGTATTGGACTTAATTATGGTTCTTCTATCTTGCAGAAAGATTAAAAGAGTTCAGAAACAAAGGGCCAGGAGCAATTATTTCCTTGTGTTGTACTTTGTGGAGCTACTTGAAATGTAGAAAGGCTGAAATGCCATTGGTGTTTTACATGTGTGCAAGTATGCACACACACATGGCAATTCAACGTGTCAGGATATAGTCTGTTTTGTTCATATAATATAATTTTGTTCATTATTAATATAAGAAAAAGTTGTGTCTATCCTTGTAGTCATGAAGAAATTCCACTATCGTCATTTGACAATTTGCTAAAAAGTCTCTTTATGTAGTGAAATAAAGTACTTAGGCTATGCTATATAATCAGTTTTTGTTTTGTTTTGTTTTTTCCTGCGAGGAACATGCAGGGTTATTCTTAATCTAGATTTCCAAGTATTCCACTTATGTATTGTGGAGCAGACCATATCATATACCTGGATAATCTTATTGCCAGCGTGCACATGTTTTCCAGACTGAGTCACAGTGGCCCTTTCTCGTAGATGCAAAGGATCTACCCAGAAACCTTTGTCATTAAATATTTTTAATTAATTCATTGTACAACTGACTTCTACTCTTTTCTTGTTTTGATTCTTCAGGATCAGTATAAATTCTGCTATGAAGTGGCTTTGGAGTACTTGAATTCTGGCTGATACTGCGAATAACGTTGGGGGAGGCAAAATGTTTCACTGCTGCAGTCAGAGCGCGTTGCTTCATGATATCTGTGTGTATGAGACGAGGACTTCTCAGTGTTACACTTTAATTGCTTTGTATTGGCTCTTTTCCAGAGCCCAAGAGAGTCTTTCCAAAAACGCTTGCACTGCCCATTTTCCACAGTATGGCTGTTGCTTGAGCCACCCACGGTCCCACACCAACACGCTCCGGGGCTGGACGCCACTGTCATGCAAACCCATCAAAGAGCCTACTCTACCTGCCTAGTCATCTGGTCAATTAAAGAGCACAATTCTATTCTAATGACAATGTTTGTACTTTTCTGTTGTACTATTTTTTGTTGCCAGTGATCCTTGTTATTGTTAAAGCCTAGTGTACATTTTTGTTCTGTGGAGAATGCCGTCTAGCATTTTGATACTGTATTTTAGTTATATTTGTATTGTATTTGCTCCTAATAAACAAAGCACCTGTAGCTTGAACTGAACTAATAGCTACGCCCACAGACCACATTAACCTTGCTGACTTCTATTTTCTGTCCAACTTGTATTGTTTCAGAAGGAGAGATTTGATAAACATCCATTAAGAAAATGGAAAAAATACAGGAGGATCAGATTACTATATCCAAAGCTTTTCCCGTTTGTTTATATTGTAAATATTTTTTATTTCATCAAATTATTTATTCATTAAAAAGAAATCTTTTGTGAAGCACAATGAGTGACAATCATTTTTATTAAATCTTGGAAATGCTTATTGTATTATATTGTACACATTTGTTTATCCTGTCTGGATTTTCAGCTTAATAAATAAGTACATATTTGATAAAATCTCATTTAATATATAGCATCTTATGGCCTACATTTGCCTTCAGGAAAAGCTAAAGGTTTCCAAACTTTCTATTTAATGTAGTATACGCTAAATAGAGCTTCTGACTCCTTATGTTTATAGCTCCGCATTAGAGCAAATTATTTGCATACGTGAATCTCCCAAGTCCTACTCTGTGCTCTCCAGTCATAGAATTTGATAATACTAGTCCGTCTGAAAGTAAGAAAACCAGTTTTGAGGACAATGAATCATTAGGATTGACAGCACTAGGGAAAGCAGATGAACATGTATTTTAAATGAATATAATATAAATATCTTTATATAATATAAATACATTGTATATTAAGCATGTTAATGTTTTACCGTAAACCACCCACAGTCACTTCCTTGTGAGATGGGCGGTGTCTAAATTTGAAATATAAATTAAATAAATAAATAAATATCAAAGCCATTTGGCCCTTAGATGCCGGGTTGTGGGTATACTTGCACACATACAGACACATATCATTTTTACACAGTAGGCACACACCATTCTTACCAGATGTGCACAGAATCTCTGGGAAGTTGAGGTACTAGCCCAGTGTTTTCCAACCTTGGCAACTTGCTGGCTGGGCAATTCTGGGAATTGGAGTCCACACATCTTAAAGTTGCCAAGGTTGGGAAACACTGGTCTAGCCTCTCAATCAACATTTGGGATTGCTCTGCTCTCATTGCAAACAGTGGCAAAGAAATAGTCTCCTCCAGTTTTGCTCCTTTGCCTTACCACAGTGCATCCCTTTTATTATCACTGCTGTTGTTGTTAAATGACAGATGCTTATGACTGTTTATGAATACGGCTGTTCAGGCCTGGTGTTAGTGGCCCCTCTCTTCGCCACTCTGTGTGAGTCTATAATCCATGAAGAACCAGTCTGGCCTTTTAGCCAGTTAATATCAGTGACAGCAACAGCAGAACCAAAGACAAGACAAGGTGCAGTAGAGGAGGGAGAAAAGGATTGTGGGCATCCATGGCCAGCCCCAAACAGCTCATTGTGCATCTACAATATATGATAGTTTGTTACTCTTTGGGAGCTGCTCACATGAAATCTGGGACAGCCTTGAGTGGAGCCTTTCATCCTCACATTGCAAGATCCTGCATTATTTGAAAGTTGTTCTAACACACCAGAGGGGTTCCAACATGGTTCTGACCATTTCAAAATAGGAACAGTTCTTCTCTTTGAACCTCAAATTCTGTTTATTTTTCTACCCTATATGTGTAACTGCTGAGGTTAGGTGACAGAATGCTGATCTATGCTCTCCTCTTGCCAACTGGTCAGTGCCCTTGGCTACTATCTTGTGCCCTGAATTCATAGTTCTTGATGGTCTGCACACCTATTTATTAAATTTCACACAAGTTCTCTGCTATCTAAATCATGGTGTCACTTTTACATCATCTTTCTGACACATACTTCAGTGCAGAATCTGTTTTCCTGACTCAAAATTATTGACTGATAGGTCAGATTTAAATCCCACCTTCAGAAGCTCAAGGAAATATACCTAGTGCTCCTCCCTTTTTTCACAACAACCTTATGAGTTAGCTTGGGCTGAAAGAATATGACTGGCCCCCAAATCACCTAGTGTGCTTCTGTGACTAAGAGTGGACTTGAACCTGGATCTCCTTGGTGCCAATCCAATACTTTAACCATTAGACCACACTGGCTCTCAGTTAAGTACCATGGTCAACAGTATCACACAGGAAGATTCCTTTTCACTTCATCATATATATTCCATCCTGATTGACTTAGTCACAGGTTAAAAAATAATTGGAAAGAAAGTATATTCCTTTCTATATTGATAGCAGCATGTAATTATTGCTATTAACATATGATTCTGGGCTGTTTCTAGTACTAACTTTAAAAACTTTTATATAAACATTGTTACATTAAAAATCATGAATAAATCAGAAATTCTACTCTGACATGATTTATTGGGAACTTAATTGCTGTAGAGCTGTTGGTGATTACAGAGCAGAAAAAGATCCCCCCTTAAGGTAAGATCCAGTTTTCCATAACAGTTTGATGCATTACAGTCATGAAAGAGAAACAGTTTTTAGTGCTATCATTGCCTGTTATCAGAAAATGCTACTTGTTTCTACAGATAGTCCTCATTTAGTGACTGCCTTGTTTAGCAACCATTTGGAGTTACAACAGTGATGAAAAAGTAACTTTGTGGCCAGTCCTCACATTTATGACCTTTGCAGGTCTGTAAAGCAACAGAAAGCTGAAGGAAGATCGTAAGCACAGTTGTGGTTTCACTTAGCGATCGCTTTGCTTAACAACCAAGTTGCTGGTCCCAGTTGTGGTTGCTAAACAAGGACTACCTCTTTAGATGTTTCTATGCTCTCGAAGTTTTTCTTAAATGGGTTTACCATAACTGGGCTGCAAAAATCCCAACTACAAGATAAAAGCAAAAAGACCATTTGATGTACTGTCATCTAATGACTGGGTTTTAGCAACTTAGATATAGTAGCTCTGGACTCTGTCCTGGAATCACACACCAAGCATCAGACTTGAACATAGATGCTATCCCGGAAGGAGAATTAAGAAGAACCTTGGAGAAAAAGAACCAGTGGGGACTAATCTTGAAGCTAAGTTGAAAACTGCAGTTCTATTAAGTGCACAGGCTTTATCCACATAACTGTCCAAACTCAATGTCAGAGGTGTCAGAACAAAGAAGCAAAGTGTGGTTGCTAAACAAGGACTACCTGTTTTGTGAAAAGTAAGTATCTCTTACATCAAACCTAAACTATCATGAAAGGTAACCAGATGTTATTCTCACCAGGTGATTTCTTTTGAGCCATTTTTCTCACCAGGCATTTTATAGAACATTTTTCTAGTGGGCAGGTTGGTTGAGCAGTGGCACAGTCATCAGATAGGCATTTCATGGGAGGAAGTCCCTTAATTGGTGAAAGAAATGCTGAGATAAGTAAGTTCTGATCCTGGAGCAATCTTGTTTCTCTCAGACTTCTGGTTCTATTCCTGTTATTGTTGTTTTTCAAAAACAAAATAAATTCTTCAGCCCTAGTGGCAGTAAAATGCTAACCAAAATACAAAGCCCCCAAAACAGCTATTCAAGAATGCCAACATGGCACTGAGCATTTCTGGAATGCTTATCAAGGACATTCCTCTGTTTGAAACAGTGCTTGTTTGACAGCCTGCCCAGTCAAAGTTTAGGTAACAAAGAGTCATAAAGAAGGAACTCAAGGAACTGGAAATTGCTTATCAACAGTATTTGGCCAGCAGTCTGAAAGTCGCTGTTGAAAAAAATGAGTGCCTTGTAGAGAAATACTAAATGCACTTGATCTAAATAACTAAATAAACCCAAAGTGCACTTTTGATGGGAAAAGTGCATTTTAATTTCCTAAATAGCATTCACAGAGATATCTTAAGGAACATAGCAGAACAAGACCATCGTGATGTGCCTTTTGTTCAATGCCTATGGATGATGATGGCTAAAGAACCAAAATCTTAAACCCTGGTCTGCTTCACTTAATGTAATTATAATAATCCTGAAACAGTGTTATTATCTAAATGGATTCTGTTCACAATTCATATAAAACATAACACTGTGCCTATTAAACTGGATCTTTATTACATCCCATGGCAATCTTGATTTGTAAAGTTATAGCAATAAATATAAAATATAGATCTATCTGGGCTTGAAATTATTGGAGATACGAGGCAGGTATTGCCTCCCCACCTGAGAACAGGAAGAAACTCCTTGAAGGCTTAATTATCCAAGTTCTAACTTTGTGTCCTTTAGTCCTTGTAGGTGTTGCGTCAAATGCCTGCAAAGTACCTGCCAAGTTATACTTAAAGGGAATTGACCTTTGCTGAGAACAGCTTTAATTTGTATCAAAGGCACACACTGCTTAATGCCAAAGCTATCTTTATTGTCTTCCTTGTAGCTGAGTGCTGAAGAGAAACAGTCTTCCCTCTCCCCCCACCTGAATTTGAGAGAACCTGGATCAGACTGTGACGCCGGACATACTTTTATTGGATAGTGCTTTGGGGAAGATATCTTGGCAGACTCGGGCAGGGAAGCTCACACGTTGAAAACAACCATGCAAGGCTTGCTATTCCATTTTTAACAGTGTGGAAACTGAATTCCACAGCCCTTCCCTAATTTCCAGGAAAGTTTCTAATGAATTCAAGAGTGTTTATTGTTATGTGTAACACGGCTGAGGCCCAGAGCATATAAAATCAGGGGTGGAAAAGCCCTGCCAGAAGAATGTTCCTTCATTTCTCCATTCAGCAGACATAGCACACCCAAACTGCTATTAATCAGGAAGTCAAAAAAAGGAAAACTTGGTCCTGCCCATTTATGGAACTATGATAAATTCTTGCCTTGCCACCTGCAGCCCGGCCCCTTTTTTACTTGCATCATGCATTCAATGTACTTAAAAAAGGAGCAGAGCTTTGATCACATGGTTGTGGACACCATTTTGACTTTTTTGAACACACCCCACAGATCCCCCTACTGCACCAATACAAATAATACTGGGTAAAAAGAGGGGAGTACCCAAGTTCAGAAATGTTACCAGCCTATGTCTTAACTAGAAACATGCCTTAAGAACATAAGAGGTTGCAAAGAACAACACTATAATTCCCCTTTTGTTATATATTACAAAAAACAGAGATCTTACAAAGCTGGAAACACATAATTTTCTTTCTTTTTAAATGGATTGAAGACACCCACCAAATGTCCACCTTGCAGCTCTGAAGGTTTTTCAATCTTAATGAAACAGTAAGAAAAAAATTAAACAAGGTGATTAAAAAGATGAGGTTGGAACGAACTTTGATTCCTTAAAAAAGCTACATTAACGGCCCAGAGCATGATGTAAGCCA